GACACATAGAATCACACTGCCAAATGGAAGAGAAAATGAAACCTCAGGACTGATTCTCAGATGTCAGTAGATGGAGATCAGAGAAAATTCAACTGCGAGTGCTCACCTGGCAGAGCATACCTTCATCTCCTCAGCACTCACACAAGCAAACTCTGTCTTAGAGAAAGAGCCTACCCAAGGTAGGCTTTTCTCACATCACTGATTTAACACAAAACAAATCTATGCTGGAATAATTCAAATCCATACAGAACCCCCAGTTAATTATGATCCCTAAATCAGAGACCTTCTCCTTCCTTTGGGCAGAATCCCATAACCTGGTAGCATGGATTAGCTACTGGACAAAAGGAGCCGGCACCTACTGACCTAAGCCATTTGGCCTGTTCTTCTTATGAAATCAACTGAACTACTTCTGTGTCCATCCCATTTCAAATACCAGCCCTTGGCTGCATTCTTCCATTAGCATTTTTTTTCCCTACAGCAAAAAGCAGTTCCTTTCAGTACATGCAGGAGAGCAGGGCTTGAAGAACTGATACAGGCATCTTTGCTAATTTCCTCCTGTTAAGAGGTATAAAAATCTCAACCAAAACTTTTCCTTCTATGAGCCTTCTTTCAAATGTCTGTTAGTAATTCAAACAATTAGATTATGATGCTGTTTTGTCAGTGTGGTTTTACATTGTCTCACACGGTTTTACTTATTTGGGTTTTTCTTGACCTTTTGTTTTTGAACTTCTCTGTATGTTAATATGTATTTTGTCACAGCTGTGCTGTCCCTCAGCCAGACACCGATGCTCACAATGAAACATCAAGCTCTGTCTAGTAGAAGCTCACAGAAACCCATGATTAGAACTGCTTTTTTTCTATTCTGCTGAATAAATTGAGTATTTTGTGCCATTCTGAAGGCTTGTTTCAGAATTTTTTCCTCACAACCATAGCAAATTGCTGATCAGGCCCCTTCCCTCACTTGTAGCCTAGTGCATCAATGCTGTATTTCAACTCGCACATGGAGAGCTGCAGCTGGGGCTGCTGGCTGTATGGGCCAGATGCCTCTTCGCCTTAGTCAGCAAAGTGCCTGCTGACTTCAAGGACATTTTCCCCTCAGTCAGTGAGCGTAACATGCAACTCTGCATTTTACTGTGGTTTCCACTAGGGCCCTGAATATGCAGACACTTACACATATACTTAATTTTACACATATGGACCCCGATTCAGTAATTAACCGCATGCCCAACTCAAAATAGATGAGTGCTCCCAGTGAAGTCGATGGAACAACTGGAGTACACACAATTGAGAAAATGAGCATTTCTGAGATGGAGGCTTCCCCCCCCACCAGGTAATGAAGAGCAGAGATGGCCTTTTAGAATTCTGTTTTCTACTGTACCTCTACAACCCATAGACAAGATAAAGCAGGAAGGAAATCATAGACTTGACAGGTGAAGGCTGAAAAAAACTGCACTGGTGTTATTTTAAAGTGAATTAACATTGTCTGAAATATATCCAGTCATGGAGATAGCAGAACAAACCTCCATAAAGAGAGTTTCACTTGCCTGTTCCCAGTCATTGCTCATAAACCAAACATCAATCTTCAACTTTCAAAAAAACTGGCAGGGATGACAGAGAACTGTATGTCCAAAAATCATATTTCCTGCAGTTTTCTTTGTTTGCTGTTAAGGATGTCTTGGATGCAGTTAGACAACTAGGTCTGAAGGCTTGTGGCCACAGTTCTGCCCCTGTGCACTACACAGAGTAGAAGGACACTAATGGGAATACAGGGTACAGTTTTCCATGCTATCTCTGAAAGCAGGCAGGCTTAAAAGATTGGAAGCAGAGAGCTTGAAACCACTCACATAGTTAAAGAGCTGGGAGTGCTTCTCATTACATTCAGTGTCATAAGGAGGCAATGCTCTTTAACTTGCCAACCTTAACACTCTGCTGTCTTGCCTGCCCTCACAGCTCTAGTCCAGAAAGCACTTGAAAAACCTCCACACCTTTTATTGTGCAAGCGTGAGATGATTTATATGCTCAAGTTGCCTCCAGTGCACATTCATCTAGCCAGAGTAGGACACAAGAAGAAGGTTCTATAACCTTCTTCATATCCAAGAACTCCAAGTATTTTTTTTGTATTTATGTGTGTGTGGTGTGTGTGTGTGTGTCTACGTTCTGAATAATCCTTTTTCTCACTGAACAGTTAGGTTAACATAAGATCCTGCTTGTATTAGGCTGGGCTACGTACATCTTTGAGCCTATGTGATACACATAACCCCCGAGTTACTCCCCATACCTACAGATGGCCAGGACGGATGGGGCTCTGGGTAACGTGATCTAGTGCTTGATCTAGCAGTTGGCAACTCCACCCATATCAGGGGGTTGGAACTTGGTCATCTTTGAGGTCCCTTGCAGCCCAAGCCATTCTATGATACAAGTGATCCAGTTACAGGCAAATTCACACAGTTTATTCCTTGGACTGCTCCTAGAGGCAGCCTTCCAGCATTGCTATCATCTTTGATCTCTCATGGATAGAACATGAATTATATCATTCTATTTCACGCCTGAAAGGAGTCCAGTGACTTCTTCAGCCAGCATGATGTAATGTCAGAATTTGTGTTATCAGAACGTTTAGACAAAAATACTGGGACAAATTCTCTCTTAACTGGGACTACTTTAGACTACCTGGTAGGAGGAAAAAAAAAAAAAAAAAAAAAAAAAAAAGAAACTTAAAAGGTAAATCTGTCCATAGAAGGAATGAGCACAAGAAGATCAGTGACACGCAAGCAACGTATTACCCATATCTAAGTCATAAACTCAATGGTTGACTTAAGTATACAGCTGACACAACAGGGAGATCCCTGGGATTTATGTGAAAACCTGCTAACCAAACTTAGTTCTCACAGTCCTGTAGGGCTCATGACATGGGCAAGCACCATTTAGAGAAACATCTAAGCTGCTCTAACAGCAGAATCCAAGCAGCACATGGCAGCCTCTAGAACTAGAAAAGTTAATGCAATAAAATATTCTCCAAATGATTAAGAGACTAATCTCTGCTCACATCCTGCTGATTTTCCTTTTGATTCCATCTTTTTGAAGCTGTAAATAAATATTATTCTGAAAACACTGCTGCTCAATCTTTTTCTTACCATGCGATTCACAGGTATCTGGAGAAGAGCAAATACTTCTCTTTTCTCTTTTCCTCTGCTTTTCTTTATCCTCTAATCTCTGATACGCTCTTCATGTTGTGTGCACTAGATGCTCTCAGGTAAAGCTTGCCAAGTGCTATATCAGCGTAGTTCCAAAACTCCCAGAAAGTTTCTTCTCATAGTCCCTCACAAGAACACCCTGGTCACTGATTTTGAAAGAGTGATTCTCTAAGTATAAGCAGTTACAGAAAGCCTAGTAGCTGTAAAAATGGATAGAGGTAATAAGAATTAAGTGCACTGCATATCACTTAAATAATATGGTCAGAAATAAGCTGCTTATGAAAAAAAAAAAAAAAAATACTGGTGTTGAAGAAAAATACGAAACAGTTAATCCTCTTCATGCAGTTAATCATCAGCCTGGAGAGAGTTTCTTCCCAGACAAGAGTGTTGGAGCAAAACTACAGGAATCATTCACGAAATAATTACGTGGTCCTATGGGAAATGATGCACTACAAAGGTAATGAGCCACCTAGTACTGATTTCGTAATAACATCCTCCTGATGCTCTTACAGAAAGACTCTAGGGAATACCCAGCAGGCACATCAGATCTTAAAATACACTACAGGAAGTTTGCTGGCCTGTTGATAGCTCCGGCCTCTCATGTATAAGACATTCCATCTGCATTTAGAAACCACGCACTTCATTATAGGAATATATTTAAAGTTCTGTTTGACTTTCTAGAGATTGAGGTGTATGTTAAGTGCCTTCCAGTATACTGCTAATATTGTGAACTAACAAAAGCAATGATTAGGCTAAAAAAAAAAAAAACCCAAACCAAACAAAAAACCTTCAGACAATCCAACAGACAACAGCTCAGTCAACAGCTTCCCAAGAGACATCCATGTCCCCACCACAGGCACGTTCAGCCCCGATACCAATGCAGAAGGTTTCTAGGAGAGAATAAAGAATGGGTTTCAAACTGTGCAGCCTTTAGTGGGAACCATATCTGACCTACCTCACAGCTGTTCCTAACATGACAAGTGACTGGATGCAACAGATGGAAATTTGAGAAGAAGTACCTGCAAACCTTGGGAGTTGTTAGAAATGTGGATACTGGACATCAGTACCTAAGGGATAAGAAACATAACAAGTGTTAGTTAATTGCTATCAATTCACTCTGTAGGAAATAAATGAACACCCATGGACATGAATGAACTTTGCATCTTGTTTTCCCTAGTGGCAGCTGTGGTTGCTGAGTCGCTACCAAACCTTTTGTGGCCTCAGCACAGGATTTTATCAGTTATTTAGATAATCTGTTCTAACGGAGGAAAAATGCAATCCTGCAGTCCTTTTTGAGTGGTACTAAAACCACAGTGTAAGTATGAATACATGTGTATATATCAAGAAAGTAAAAGTATACCAAGATAACATACAAAAAGATGCATCAATAGATCAGAAAGTAAAAAGATGGACTTCAGTTGCTATTTCATTTGATTTCACACTAAGTAACTGTGTTTTCTAGAAGTAGCATCTGTCATGAGGGACAAAAAGACAAGTAGGCAAATTTTGTTTCTAAACTTAGAAGACAAACATTTTGATGAGCAAAACAAACATCTGCATTTTGCTGGCGTTCCGCATAGCTCAGCAGGATTCAGTTCAGTTTAAATAGAAACAACAGTTGCTCTACTGCATGCCACTTTCATTGTAGTTGCAAGCACTGCTGAAGTCATGCAAGTTAGTAGAGAACAAAGCTTGTTCTCTATGTCTCCAGTCATTTTTGTCTAGCACTGGTCTGTAATTTTCTTATCACAATAGCGGTGCACCTCAGCACTGTTTCCAAGAAGCCTGTTTTCTTGCTTAGAACTTAGCTATGCCAACACCAGTCTGCTGTGCAATCCATCTGTAAGCAAGAAAGAACAATTACCAGAAAAGAATTCCACAGTTTCTGTTATATAAAAGAACATATAGCACTACTCCTCTATACTGGTTGGATAATACTAACTGGATTTTACGTCCTTCAAATGTTTTGGATGTATGCTCAGCTCCACTGAAGAGCAGAATTTGATTTCATTAATTTAATAGTCTGACCCAGATTCATTTGTGTGCATGTGACCCACTGCCTTCAGTCAGTATGTGTGCATATGAAAATTTATGTAAAATGAGCTTGCACGATTCAAACTCAAGACTTGGTATTTCCTAGATGTTAATGCAAAATAGGCATTTTGCAGCAATATAAACTGACTGAAAATGAATAAAAGCAACCTAGCTTGAAGCTTAGAAACTGCATTTATTATTTAGGCATTGCTTAAAGAACGTCTCACGTTTGACATGATTAACCACTGGAAGAAGAAACATCTCTTACATAAACATATTTATGTGCTATTTGTAGAGCTTACTTTGCAGATCTTCAGCTGACAAATGACTGCCTGAAAAAATAAGTGGCTCACCACTGTAGGCCAACAGGGAGTCACAGCTCTCATTCACATTATTGTCAAACGCAGTGGAGAAGAAACCCATCCGGAGAAGTGACTTCTTGGTGGAGGGTTGTGCCAAACCATCAGCTGCAGTACACAAGCTCTCACAGTCATTTTCTCTGACCTATTGACTCTAGATTTGAAATGGCATGGAAGAAAGGCTTAAGGAAATGAAAGCGTAATTGTTCTGCCCATTACATTTCAAACACCAACAATCACACGCACATTCTGAGAATCAAGTTCTCCGGTCTGTTTCATTCTTTTTCCGTTTTGTTCTCTTCCTGAGAAGGAATAACGATGTCACATTTGTACAATTCACTAAAAGTAAAGAAAAGGCTCTTCTAATAGGAAACGGTACATTCTGAATTAGTTCACTTCATAAATGCTCACCAGTGGCTGCCATGGAATGAGACAGAAGGAGGTCTCTCAAGGACCATTTGGCAAAACACTATGTATGGGATGGATAAACCCTGTTCTCCACAGAACTTTACCTCTGACAGTGACATAGTGCTCTCAAAACAATCCAACGCTTAAATCTAACATTTCATAAAACCAATCAATGCATTTCAAATGAATAATAGATTTTGTTTTAAGGAAGAACGAGCTCAAAAAAAAAGAAGAGCACTTATTGAATCATGATTTCGGAGCAATATTTTCCTCCACTCAAAATTAGGTTCAAGTAAAGCCATAACAAATTTTGAAACAGAATATCTTCCAACCTTTCCCTTTGCCAAGCAAATCTGGTTTGATGTTCTTTCAAAAAAATCAATTTGAAATAAGCTTGAACTCCACAAAACAAGCAACTTGGATATGTTTTCCAGTTATCTCTAGTCACATGCAGGTATGATGGGATGCAATTTGAACAGTTAACAGCAACGTTCATTTATAAAGATGAAGATTTGGGGGAAGCTAAATAGCTTTGGGTTAGTGCTAGTTAGCAAAACAAAGAAACATAGCACAACTCAGTTTCTTTCCCTGACTTCTCCCACCACAAACACTTTCCTTCCTATTAGGATGGGACACATTTCAAAGCAACAAAGCCCTCATCTTCCCACTATTAATTGTCCAAAGCTCAAGTTAAATAATAGCAGCAGTAATACAAACATTTGAGACGTTAGAGGACAGGCTTGAACACATGCCAGTAGACTAGGAAATTAACCCTTGCCTCATGGTTATTTCAAGCCTACAATGGTACCGCAGAGACAGTGAAATCTTTGTTTCAGTGGAAATAATTGTGCTTCAGGGAGGGGGGCATTGGACAGGAGGAACATAAAGCCACATAAAAAGAAACAAAACTTCCTAGTTTTATTGGGATGGTCGCATAAAGTGATCATGCGCTCCGTCAAATGTTATTTGAGCATCCAGTTGCTACTAATACAGTCCCAACACACAAGGTATTGGTACTGAAAAGCTCTGATTACACCCTTAACTGAAAGGTTCAACATCCCGTGTCTTCTTCTGCTCCAAACCTGATTTTCCCTAAATCATTCAGATCATCTCCTTGGATGACAGCTCTACTGCGCAGCAATACTAGAGTCAAAGAATCACAAAGGTTGGAGAGGATTGCTGAGACCATCTAGCGCAGCCATCAAGCCATCACCTATGTCCCCCAGACCACATTAAAAGGAGCAATATCTGCCCTTTCCTTGAAAAATCTCCAGCAATCTGAAAAGGACTTCACCTCTCAACTCAGACAATGACTAAAAGCTAAACAGATCAAGCATTTTATCTCATTTTCCTCCTCTTGAAATGAAATACAGTATGGCAAGGTATTAGTAAACACATGCTAGTGCAGATAGCCTGAAGCAACATGATTTAAGACCTGATAGCCCAAATGCATAGCCCAACACAGATTGACTGCAGAGTTCATTAGTGAATTGCATTAACTGGCAACGAGCAAAGTTTTAAACAACTAATTCCCAAAATTAGTAGCGGGAAGATTAAATATATAAAATATCAGAACTTCAAGTTCTCGAACTTGGAAGTGCTGCCTACTTCTTCCCCCCATTAGCTGCACACGCCAACGGCCTCATTTGGATCAACTTCAGCTCCATAATACATCTGCAGCATTAGCTGCTGCAGCCAGCCTCACAAACCACTTGGCTTTATTAAGTTTTTTATCTGCTTCCCAAAACTTGCTACTTAGTCTTTTGACAACTGTTCTGCTAGCTATAAAAATAAGTCATATAATTTATTAATGCAGAATATTTCCTGCACAGTTTTGATTCAGTACTCCGGGGATGTTGCAGGAGAGGAGGCTGTGAAGCATTACGATAGTGGAACCCTCCATGCAGCACAAGACTGCGCAACAACATCACTACATGACTTGGGAAACTTTCATTTGACAATCTATGGGAAGCATCACAGCAGTGCAGAGTGACTTGAGCTGCCAGTCAAACTCCTTCACCCCATTGCTACCCAAGATCGTCCATAATTTCTGTCTGGTCATTACCAAAGCAATTCTTACACTTTCAGAACCAACATGAAGAATTGAAACCCCAAACCTTGTTCATTTTCAGTCTTTCCTTACAAAACGAGAAATGAAGGACAGCAATCTTATCTTCACTAGGCATGCTAGTACCAATTTTGTTTCTAAAAACTACTTGAATGCAGCATCAACTATTCACAAAGCTGTAAAACACTTCTTGACCTCTGCCTCTTGTGTTTCTTCCCAACTTCTGCAGCCTTCATTTCTATCAGATTTCATGAACCTGACGTCAGATACAATCACATAGTTATTCCCACAATATTTTTCAGTGAGAAGGAATTCTGGGTGTTTTTGGCTTCTATCCATCTACCATGGAAAACAGACAAATTGAAGAACCCTGTACTACACACCTGTGCTTTGCCAGGTGCATGAAAGTCAGGGTTTGCTGACTTCAGCAGCAACATTCCCAAATATTTGTTAGTACTGCTGTTCATTTAAATGTTAACAAGTGAACTCTGTTGCTTTTCTTTACACTAACAAAGCTCACAGTAATTCATCAGCTGGCTTATGCTTTTGCAATTTCTACTACGGTTCTTCCTTCAACTTTTCACATTACTTTGGGGAATTAAAACCCTCAAATGAAATTTAAATATGAATTTAGCCTTTACCCCCTATTACAACCATAACTATTATAAATATTTTTAACTTTTTTTTTTTTTCTGGATAAATAAATAGCTTGAAGCACACACAACTATTTCTAGTTCTCCTTCAACACAGGCAAATGTTTCAGACAGCTAGAACCCTGCCACGCTCTGACTGTTCCTTCTAGCTCTTTTGCACTGATGCGTCAGCACTTGCTACTAAAAGTAAAGAGTTACAGAATAAGCTGTTTTTGTTCAAAGCCTGAAATAAACAACAACAAGACAATTATTCCTTGATTTTCTACCTCTGACCTTCCCTGGGCTCCCCGATCTTTATGCTTGCTTGATTTAAAGAAGCACACGTAGCATCAGATAAGAAAGAGAAGGAGTTGACAAAAACTGAAACTTGTTCAAGAAAACTCAATGTAGGCATTTACAATGCAGACATTCTAAGCTACCTTGATGAGCATTATTAAATTCACCTTTGTTTTGCAATACTCTGCACCGTACTAAAACGTCCCAGACACGCCAGGAAAACGAACTACAGGGGAGTTTGTCAGCACACTGAAGCAGTGACTTATTTTTAATATGCTAAATGCTGACAGACAAAACAAAATTATTTGGTGCAATATAATGCAAATGTGCTGTCTAATACTGGTGCCTTTCAGATTTCAGAGCACGTATTTTCTTGTGCTGTTTTCCACATAATCTAGCCTCAAATAAAGGCATCAGTAATTTTGATTTGATTACACTATAATTATTCAAATATCTTTAATTTTGTGCTCTTGACTAATTTCCATATCCACTGTTACCATTAAAAGAGATTGTTATAGATAATGTATCTCATGTATTTCCCCTAATTGAAAAATGTAGTTCTTGAACAATAACAGTTACGACAACAACAATCCAGTTTAAAGGCTACTTTAGCAAGGTGGCTCTAATTGCTGCAAACTTTCACAAGCCACAATAATTAAAAGCAAAGCAGAAGGACAAGATGCCAACAGCTAACTTTTTCCTTCTTTCCTAATTACTGCTTCCTCACTAAGATCCAACAGAAGACATTGCTACCCAGCAAAGTAAACACATCAAGTAAACTTGTTTATAAGACTGTATTTCCAGGAAGCTGCTCCGGACTGAAGACTCTAAGGAAAGCAGAATCTCTCCCAGCTGGACCTCCCAACAACTGATGACATCCAGCACCGCCCTGAGTCATGGAGCAACTTCATCTTCCTGTTAAAAAGTATGCTATCCCCAAGTAGCTTATCTTGTCGGTAGATTCTTGCTGGATATGAGAAGTGGGAAGCTGAACAGCTCACTAGAGCAAGTGCAGATAAGACAGATGAAGGAAAGAGTTACTTGGTGGAACAGGCTGCCCGGGGAGATGGTGGAGTCAGTGTGCCCAGAGATGTTCCTGAACTGTGGAGATGGGGCACAGAGGGACACGGTTAGTGAGCACAGTGGGGGTGGGCAAGGGTTGGACTCGGGGGATCTCAGAATTGTTAATGTTGGAAAAGATCTCAAAGATTGTTCCCAGGATTGGAGAGAGAGTCAAGTGGGAAGAATGTCAAAGAAAAAGAGTTCACAGAGAAGATGGCAGAAGAGTTAAATGTGAGAACGTTTAAAAAAGACAGACAGGCAATAGAATAAAAAGCGAAAAACAAGAAGAGAAAGAAGACATTGAACTGGGAGAAGCGGGAGCACATACTGTGAAGAGGAAAACCAAATTATGTTCAGAGACAGCCAGAGTGCAGGTGCATGACTTTCATTGTTTTCCAAACACCAACACAGCTCTAGGAAGAGGTTCAGATGCTGTGTATCATAATAAGAGAAGGGAAATAACAAATGAAGTGATGAAAATCAAAAGACAAAGCATTCTGAATACTGAATGGCTTTCAGATTAATAGCTCTTCAGGGACAAAGATTGTCATTTTATTGTGTGCTTTTGCAGAAGTCAGTAGAGTAGCTTTTAGCTAAGTCTTATCTCTGAGTACTACTTCAGTACAAATAATTAATAACAGAAGCAGCCAAAATAAGCCATAAGACTAATGACTTCACAAATTATTT